AAAAAAAAAAAAAAAGAGAAAAGTATCAATATAAATTATTTCGACTTTCTTAAATTTAGAAGATTGCAAGTCGTCCTTACTTGACGAAATCATTTTTTAGTACTCTCATCAATATTGTGGCAAGAAATCCAGTAAGAAGGAGAACTGTCACACACGAATTGATAATTGAGAACCAATGGATCTCCAGGTGACGAGGAAGTGAAGAAGAATGGGAGTACTTCTCCATCCTCTTCTCAAAAGGTATGCTAGTTTCCTTCCATTTGACTGAGTACATAAACTCCACATCAACTTCCTTATCATCAGTAAGGTCTACAAGGGCACTGGGGTCTGTACGTGCATTGATCTCAATCACGCGATCTTTGTTATAGAAAATTTCAAAATGAAGGTGCTTAAATAGGTAATACTTGTAGTCGCTAGGGTCTGTTTTGCCTTCTTTGTCAACCTTTCCCAGGAAACCCCAAATCGGCAAGTCATCATAGTACATTTGAAAATAGTAGTCCTTTGACACGGCACTTCGGAACTCAGCAACTTCTTTCTTTGACAGCTGCTTCTTACAGATGACTTCGGACTCTTTGTCAACCAAAAAGTCCAGCTTGTACGGAGCACTGACCAAACGGTCTCCATTCAGCACTTCACCTAGAGCTTCACTTTTATCCTTCACATTACCTGTCGGCAAGAAATGTCGAATGAGTAAAAGAATGGAGTTGACGAGCAAAACAACAAAGTAGACAAGAAGTACCTGGAGAACAGAATGGAAGGTCAAAGTAACGGTATGTTTCACTGTAATGAAAACAAGTATCAGAACATGAGCATCACGAGATAAGAAAATAAATAGTTCATATTGTTACAATCCTGAAACAAATGTCATAATGTATAAGCATTTCCCACAAATGATTAATTTACGTAAACTTATACAATTACACAAACAAAGCAGTTGATAACCTTAAAAAAACCCTGCTCAGTAAATGGCATAGAGTTATATTACTGCCGCTTTTAAGGCAATCATGTGAGTGCATGTGCTTCAATATCAACCAGAGTACATACCATGTCATCATTCCCTCATGTTAAATGACAATCTTCTTCTATTGTCGCATCTAACTATTAAAAGGCAGTGCTAGTCCCCATATGACAAGTCATTAGTAAAAGAGAAATAAACATGATTCTCGTGGAGCATTTGACTTAATTGAAACTTTTCAAAAAGATAATAAAAATGTTACTTGATACCTCAAAGGCAATGTTAAGATTTGTTGCCAAAAACTGCTAATGCAAAATAATTTTTTTGAAGTCACATTACCATTAAGCAAGATTTATGTGATCACATAATTTCTACATCACCACCAAATCCTGATATAGCTAATACAATTGATAGGACCAAAAGTTAATCAATAAAAATTGTTGACATATATTTTTCCTATAATAGAGCAAAAGGTAGGAACTTATAACATCATCCTCTTCTCCCAAGCATATTTTCTGGAATATTGAACTCGGAATAACGCAGCCCATATAGGATACACTCACATCATTCACAATGAAAGATAACTTTGAATATTATAGAAATATTAAATTACATTTTCTATATGGTCATTGGTCTCCGCCAACTAATTCATGATGTTTGGACCAGTTCCAAGTTCCAACTTTCAGACCCATCTTACAATCTTCAGCAAAGAAATATATCAAATTCTTTCTAAACCAACTTCCAATCAGATTCTCCATTAAACTTCATATTTCTTTAAGACGGAGTTCCAACTGTCATGCCAAATGCAGTATATATGATCAATAATCAATCACTTCATTTCTAAAATCAGTCTTCTTTGGTATTCCTTAGTGAAACAGAGATGAACACGCATCACGATTAGTGTTACTACTTAGTATCAAAATCATCTTCGAAAAGCTAATACGATCATTTTCCCGCAGGAAAATGACAAAGTTACCAACTCCTAAAAGTAATAAAATTGATCAGTATCTTAAACCCAGAGCCCATGCCTTTCAGCAATTACCACGACGAAAGAATTAGATGCAGCAATTTGCATAATATCTCTCCTACTGCATCTCATCTCTGCAGCTAAAGATCCTCACTTGTTAAAAACATCCATCACCAAATCCACAGGGTGACCCATCAGTCCGGAAATCCATACAAACCCAATTAGCTAAATCCCCGCCTAATAAATCTTCAAAATTGGACAAGAAAACTAAAGCAGGCAAATCCGCAAAGCATAAGGAACAACCAGCTAAACAATTCGCCCAATTCACATTTACCATCCAACGATCAAATGCCTCCATACACAGACACAAAACAAAAACGAGAGCGAAAGTAAGCATCAATTACCTAGGGTTGTGAAATGGCCCGACCTTGTTTGCATACAACGGCACCGGATCACCGACTTTGTACTTGTTATCGGATCTCACAGCCGGGATCGCGA